GAGTATTGGGCCTGTGTGTCCACCCTTCAGTGAGGCTATCTCCAAGGGGGCTGACTCAGGGCTCGAGAGCCATCCGACAGTTTCCAGTTCCTAGATGCTGCCTGACTCAGCTCTTTCTTTCTTCCATGTTTTGTTGTCACCCTGGTCCCATCCTCTATGTTAGTTGGGCATGTCAAAAATTAAGCACCTTTGAATCAGAGTTGACATAAAAGGCTGTGATAATGCGTACTAAAATCAATTATTTGAGACCTTCAAGTAGAAACCCTCCCTCCTTCTTCTTCCCCTCCTCCTCCCCTTCAAGGAGTGATACAAAGACTTAGAAAGTCCCACTGGGCTCACAAGCACCCTGGCAGGGAGGGCAGAGAGCAGTGCTAAGAAACCACGCGGTGCCATTAGATGCTCTTGACGTGCTGTGGTTTTCTGGTTCACTCTGCTAGACTGTGCCCAGGGCTGTTCCTGGAGCCGTCTGTCATTGTGCTTACAACTCACATCACACCCCGAGTCAGCCTGTTACCCCGCAGAGCCAACAGCCTGGCCTTTTTCATGCAAAGCCAGCAAAAACAGACCTCCTGGCCGAGCTGGAAAGCACAGACTCTGGAGCCCCCTTCTTTCCTGCAGCAATAATAAATGATAACAGCACTGAGGATGACTGGAGAGCCTGATGATGATAAGAAACAAACAAAAAAGGTATCTTCGAAGCCCTGGACTGGGGGACCGGGTGTAGTTTGGGCACACATTTGCTTGGTAACCTTGGGCAACTACTTTCCTCTAACTGGGTCTCACCTGTTTGCTCATCCGTAAAATGGAAATGCTGAGCTGGAAATGAACCTAAAGTTTCTTTTCAACATTTGAGTATTGTGTTCGTTTCCTGGGGCTGCTGTCACAAAATACCACACAAACTAGGTGGCTTAAAACAACTGAAATTTATTCTTTCAGGATTCTGGGGGCTGAAGTCTGGAATGAAGGTGTCAGTAGGGCCATGCTTCCTTCAGTACTCAGAATAAGCTCCTTACTTACTTTTTTTCAGCTTCTGTGGGAGGTGTCAATCCTTGGAGTTCCTTGGCTTGCTGCTGCACTCATCCAGTATCTGCCTCTATCCCCACAGAGTGCTCTCCCCTGCGTCTGTGTCCATATTTGTGTGACTAAATTTGAGTCTGGGTCTAAATTTCTTTCCTTTGATAAAGACACCAGTCATATTGCAGGAGTGCCTACCAAGCAATAGTATGAGCTCATCTTAACTTGAGTGCTCAATCTGCAAAGACCTTTTCTTTTTTTTTTTCCAAGTAAAGTCACATTTACAGGTACTAGGGGGTTAAGACTTCAATGTACCTTTTTAGAGTTGACACAGTTCAACCCATAATGGGTATTAATGAATATTTTCCTAGTGACCAGGTTTATGAGGTTTTATTTTGAAATTTGAGATAGGAGATATTGATGGCTTCCCCTCAATGGAGGAGAGACTGGGGAAAGAAGAGCAAGGGCCATGTTAACTGCAGCCAGAGCTGACATTAAGTTGGGCTGCATTGGTACAGCTTTATGGGTTGTTAAAACATAAGAAGACCTACCACTGTCCTGAGATGCTTCCACCCATGAAATCCCTGATCTCCCGGCTGCCATAGTGGCAAGATGGCTTGTTTTTCTATGGCTGGAGTTTCTGATTGGTTTTGGTTAATATGATGAGTAATACAGAAGTCCATGGTGACCCAGGACAACTTTGGTGAAAACTGAGACCAGGTGGGGTGAGTTCCACTTCCTCTCACATGCTGCCCTACAGTAGATCATAAACTCCTCCAGGGCAGGGAGGTTTGTCTGTCTTGTTCACTGATGTATTGCCAGGGCTCAGCACAGAAGATTAAGGCTGGAGCACATAGTAGATGTTCAATAAATGCTTGTTGAATGAATTAATGAATTCTCAGATAAATCTGATAGCAAATGTAAGCAAAGGAAGCATCAAGAAATAGTCTTCTAGCACCGAAGTGCCCTTTTGAAATGTTCCGAACCTTTTTATTTTGTGTCCATTCACTTAAGAAGTAGCCATGTCATAACTTGAGATGTGTTCAACACTTTTACATCCTTAGAGTCACTGACACTGTACCCATTTTCTAGCTGAGGCTGAGACTAAGAGAGGTTGAAGACTTACTGGAAGGCACGTAGAAAATACATTGCAGAGACTAGAGCTCTGGCCACATCTGCCCAGCAGGGCTGGGCTGTTCTTTTCCACACTCTAAGAGAAGCATGTAGTTTGTCTCCCAGCCCTCAATCCCAGGTATAATCATGTATTCGTTTACGTGATTATATAAGTAATGTCTGTCATCCCCATTAGGCCAGAAGCTCTATGTTGCCCTGATACCTACATTTGCTTGTGGTTCAGAGTAGTTGCTCGTTGTAGGCATCCTCTAAGATGGCTCTCAATGACCTTGACTTCTGGTGTTCAGGCCCTTTTATAAGCACTACCCCCTCAGCCCCCAATGCCACTGAAGAAGTCTGGCCTGTATAACCAATAAGACATTGCAAAAATAATGTTGTGCAATTTCTGAGACTGGGTCACAAAAGACATTGCAATGCCCACCTTGCTCTCTCTTGGATCACTTGCTCAGGGGAAGCCAGCTTCTATGTGGTAAGGACCCTCAAGCAGCCCCATGGAGAGGTCCATGAAGTGAACAACTGAGGTCTCCAGGCAACAGCCTTGGGAGTGAGCTGCCTTGGCAGTAGATCCTCCAGCCCCAGTCAGACCTTCAGATGAGACCATTGTCCCAGGTGACATTTGTGACTGAAGCCTCATGAGCAACCCTGAAACACAACCACCCAGCTAAGCCACTTCTGAATTACTGACCCACAAAAATGAATTTATAAATGCTTGGTTTTGTTTTACGTCACAAATTTTGAGGTAACTTGTCATGGGGCCACAGATCATAAATACTATGCTCAGTGTGAGTTTCTTGAATGAATAAGGAAACGGATGCATAAGTCAATGAATGAACAAAAGCACTGTTTTTTAGGCTAATTATAGTTATCTAGAAACTAGCTCCATTCACCATGGACTAAGTGGGTGACTTCAGGCAAATATAATCTTGCTGCCCTGGGCCTCAGTTTCCTCATCTGTAAAATAGGATGATGAGAGCAGTAGCCACCTCAGAGCTTTGCTGCAGAGATTCAGGAGGAAAAGATAGGCAAAGACACTTAGCATGGTTCTTGGCACAGATCACACTGGAATTATTTAACACTCAGCACAACCTGTGCATAAGCAGTTAGAATGGTCACCAACTGGCTTGATATCAGCCCTGGGGTGGGGCCCATGATAAGCTCTCCAGAACTGGTAGCTGTCATCATCATCATTGCCACCAGGCCAAAGGCTAATAGACTCAGTGCCTGCAGCAAGGAGCTCTCAACTTAGTGTGGGAAAGAGACAAGCAAGCAAACATTTACACTAGTGTGATGAAGGGCATAAGAATGTGCAAAATGATGATCCATTCTGCTATGGGAGGAAAATGTTCATATAATCACAGAGGGCATAGGTCCAGAGGTCTCTGGCCCGAACCTCAATTCCAGCTCTCAGACGCTTTTAAGAGTTGACATTTGTTCCCACTGTTTCACCCAATTTTGGAACAAAGAAACTAGTTCCGAGCCCAACTAAAACCAAACTCCACTGCTCATCTTCTATTACGACCTTGGGCAAGTCACTTAGCCTCTCTGAACCTGCTTCCCCATTTATAAAAGGGGAACCATTAAAGTCTTTAACTCCTAGCAAGCACTTAAGACAGTGCTTGGTGTTATGTTTGACACTGGTAAGTGCTTTATAAATGTCATGTGGGTTACTATTGTTACCACTTTTATTATTTGAGGTGTTGAATTAGACCCATTCTTCCTGAAAGACTTCTGTTCTCATGGAAAAGATGGCTCCATGAGAGACTAATCTTAGTTTTCCTTCCCACACATACCATACACAGGGCCCTCTTGAACTTCAAAGAGAAGCCCTGCCAGGAAGCTCAACTTGCTGTAAGTTTAGCAGGAGAAAGATGGGAGCTGGCTTCCAGGGCCGCTGAGCAGCTGTTTGATATCACACCAGGGTGGCCAAGACTTTGGGGACGGCCCTGTTTACTCCTTGCAGATAACATCTTGAGTGGACTGTGGGGAGGGATGGGAAGGACGCTCAGGGTCAGCCTTCACCTTTGTAGTTGTTTAAATGTCGATTATAACGCATCTGAGACTGACTTGCGCTAGGGTGAGGAGCGAGTGATGTGTTTGAAGATATCCTATGTATTTGCTTGAAGACTTCATTTAAGGGATCTTAAATCTCTTAACAAAAATTGGTGGATCTCAGCCATCGTTTTTCTGGTTAAGAAAGTGCTCAGCAGCATTTTCGTTAATAACCTCCATGGTTGAAAACTCTTTCTAAGATACCAGAGGCCTTCTCCATCTTAATTAAATATGGCAATGAATATTAATAAATAATTGAGCTATCTACCTAATTGAAATGAAATGAGAATTGGATTTTAGAAAATAAGAAGTGCGCAGACAAAGATGTTTTGGAAGCAACTTGTTTTTTAAAAAGTGCAATGGCTTTCTTACTGCAGGATTTCCTAGGGTCTGTTGTATGCCCAAGTGCATTTTGATTTTGTCTCCTGAGAAGGACCTAAGAAGCCACAAATTTTGCAAGAGATTTTGGATCACAAAATCTTTAATTTGTGGAGCATAGTATGAGATTAGTATCCTTAGGTACACACTTTGGTCCAGGCTACCATGAGAATACAATAGGTAAATTACTCAGACCAGTGCACACCACCCACAGCAAGTGCTTGGGTAATGGTACACATTATTACTGTTACGATGGAGGGGGTTGAACTTCAAGGTTGCCTCTAACTCAAGAAATTGATGATTTTCATTATAATGCCATCACGAAAAGGTAATTGAGCTTGTTGGCTTGGATGAAATGGAAAAAAAAATAATTGAAATTATGCACTCAACGTAATTTCTTTCATAATTTAAATTTAGTTCTTAACAAGTTGATCTTCATTTGTCTTTTTTTTTTCCTTGGTTTGATTTTTTTTTATAAGACCTTAACAAACAATGAAATCCTCAGAGGCAACTCAAATAATATCCCAGGAAAATCCCAGGGCACACGTTTCAGCATGTGTGGGAAATGTGTTGTCTGGACAAGGAGCATAATCCAGCAGACCCTGGGTTGCACCAGTGTCCTACCTGGGACACACATGTGCTGTGAGCAGATGGAAACCACCTCACTGCTTTGGGTACTGGGCTCTCAAATTATGAAACATAAACAGGAGATTAATGCATCGGCTTGCCACTCAAAGTGTGGTCCTCAGATCAGCAGCAGTGACATCACCTGGGGTTATTACTTTTCTTGGAGGGAAGTCGTTTCCCATGTACTTACAATGTCCAGATTTTGTTGGCAACTTGGTAAAGTGGCCGTTTGCTTAGCCAGATATGCCTAAACATTTTGAAACTCCGAGTTAAGGAGGGCAGTTCCTGCTTCAAGGAGAGAGCTGGTGCCAATTCTCATTTTCATTTCTAGATCTGGATCTTTATGACAAAAACCTCATCAACCTGGAAGAGTTACTTTCCTGCTTTCAACTCTGAGTTCTCCATCACCTCCCCTGGCTCCTTGCACATACACTCTCTCTTCTTTTCCATATAATAAAACAGCAATGTAATCAGCCCCTGGAACGCGTCTTGGCAAAAGGAATAAACTCAGGCAGCTTGGTTTATTAGCTGTTTCCATGGGAGAGAACTCTTGGGGCCAAACAGATATTTACAAATATTGTAAGCACTCTGCTGCTCCCCAGCAGCGACACGGCTGTCTGGAGATAAATAGCTTCTCAGAGAATTTAGGTTTTCTTCTCCATCTCCTCCTGCACCCTTCTCATCTATCTTGCTTTCAGCCAGATCGTCCTATTACTAGAAGGTCCCTAGAAGAGATTTTTTTTTTTTTTTTACCACCTGTGGCACTGAGGGCCTGAGGGCTTGAGGTTTATTGCTCTGAGGGAACAGATCAGAAATGTGGTTGTGAAAGATGAATATTTTGATATATTTTGTGATTTAACCTGCTCAGAGCCTTTGTGACCAGAAGTGAGCATCTCATAAACGGTGTTTTTAGCCTCACAGCTCTTACAGTGGTTAGAGGACCAAGTTCAGGGTAATTATGTCAACTTCTTCTCCAAGTATTGATTTACTCAACAAATAGACATTGACTCCCAGCACATACAAGGCAGTGCATTCAATGCCGAAGTTACCATCTTGTATCTGTTAGGGTCCAGCGAGAAAACTGGCATCATTAGAGGTCCTTCAAGCAGAGAGAATTTAACACAGGAAATTGAATCCATAGGTGTTGGAAAAGCTGAGGAAACAGATAACAGAGAGTGAAGCAACCTAGAGTTTACCAGTAGCAGGAAGTCACTACTGTCTGTAAAGAAAAGGGGCTCCAAAACCTAATGCAATAAAATAAATAAATGAGGGGGGGAAGAAAAGGGGCAAAAAGAGGAGCTTATACTTTGAGAGATGAAGTGCCAGGACCATCAAGTGTAGCCAAGATTGTCAAGCAGCTGTAGCTTCTGCCAGAGCCTTCATGAAGTGATACTCAACTGTGTCCTCTTTCTTTGCTCTAGTCTTCCATCAGAGCCTCCTACTGGCTGAGTATTCAAGGAAGCAAGAAGGCAAAGGAGCTTGGAAAATGTAGCTCCTTATGATTTGGAAGAGAATAGAGTAGATAATGGATCTGAGAGTGAGTAGGTGCATAGTTGGCACATGTGGCAAGACGGACAGGTACAGTCTTAGAAAAAAGTGGGTGTCAACTATTGCCTGGCCCTACCATATCTCAAGCCCGAACTGAATCTAAAGGGTGAGAGATGATGGTCTTCCTTTTTTTTTCCCCCCAACCTAAACTTTGGAAACTTGCCAAGAGAAAAAAAGTCACGTTGCAAAAGGAAATTTACTTAGTAGATGAGCCAAAGTTTCTATGAACAAGTCCTCAGTGACACCATTTTAGTTTTAGAGCCCCCAAATTAGCATTGGGGTGTTTTCCAGCCTGGAAAGCACCTTTCCCTGCAATAATCATGATTAAAATTTATTGAATACTTGGTATGTACTGGCCATTGTGCTAAATTCTTCCTATGCATTATCTTTTTAAACTTTATATTGATCCCATGAGGTAGCAATAGCTACTCTTATTAGAACCAATCTGTAGATTAGCAATCCAAGGTTTAGACAGGTTAAATTTAGCATATTGCCAGGGAGTGGTAGAGCTGGAGACAGGCAATCTGACTTCCAAACCCATAGTTTTAGCCACTTTTCAATATTGCCTTCCAATGAAAGTATATTTAATGTTGTGGCAGGTAAGAGGAAAATCTGAGTTGAATATAGTTCAGATGACATAGTTCAGAATATAGTTCAGTGCAACACACCCTCAACTAAATCATAGATTAAACAAGGTAGTCATTTATTTTTCTTGCACATAAGGGACTGCTAATATGGCAACTCTGCATCTTGGAGTTTTCAGTAGCTGGGATTTCTCTTTTTTCTTTGTCATCCTTAGGGTATTTTTGGTCATTGACACTTTTCTAGTTACTTCACCACCAAATTTGTAATCTAGACAGTAGAAATAGTAAGATAAATGTGAGGGGAAAAAACTCCTTCACTCTTAGAGCATGACACAGAAATATCACACATTTTTCTCTGTCCCATTAGCTAGGACTTAGTTATATGTTCCCACCTAGCTGCAAGGGAGCTGGGAAATGGGCAGCCTGGCTAAATTCAATTATTCTGTCAATACAGTGGAAAAGAAAAACATTGAGGGACAACTCTCTGCTTCTGCTTGCACATACCTTTCTTTTTACTTCAATGTTCAATGTGCTGATTGAAAATCTTTTCCATGTTTCATCTCAGCTAACGTGCAAATCTCCAATTTGGGATAATTTTGTGTTCAGTTTACAATGCATGAGGCAACTGAGGACATGAGAGTCGAAATTACTTGTTTCAACACGAGTCAGTTATGTGGTGAATGAGGTTGGAATGGGTATTTATTTTATAAGTGGCCTTTCAATTGTTTTTTATATTGCAAATGGCTTTTTGCTTCTTGATATAACCTCATTACTGTGTTCGAGTTGGATAAAATATTCTTATGTAATGAAGGCTCTGCATATAAACACCCTTTGTTTAATGCTATCCAACTATTAGAAATTATTATCGGGAATATTACTCAATTTTTGACATTAACACCATTCCAGCAAGTCTGAACTAACTGATTCATGTGAAACAATAAAAAATGTGAGAAAGCTGAAGTGTCTGGAGGGTTTAGTCAAGAATTATTCATTTTTATGGACAGAAACTTAGCCTAGCTCAAGCCAGGAGAATTAACTGTAACAGACACCAGATGATATCCTGTGTATTCAAGGGTTAGAAACAAAGTTTAGGGGATCCCACCAGTTAGGAATTTGTCATTTGAGCCCTACACAACGCATTGTATAGGGAAGCACACATTGTCATTATATAAAAATCACCACCGATAAACTCATGCACATATTCCGCAGCAAATCTCTCAGCCTGTTTTACATGAGTGTAACTACTCCTCAGTGCATCAATACCTTTGTTGGACACTCCCTCACAGGTTGCCAGATGCTGTAGGTATCTGACCATACCATGCAAATACAATGCAAATAGATTGCAAAGCAAAATTGCAAGTCTTGCAAAAGATGCAGGATTTCAGAAAGTGGATGGAAATTTTGCTGGAGAACGGCTCTAATTACAAGCAAAGCATCTGATGGATGGGAATGTGTTAGCATCGGGCCCGTTGACAGGACATGTGCTTTAGATGAGAATGATTTGTGTATCAAAGGATTAAGAGAGGCGCTGAGGAAAATTGATGAATCTTTCCAGTATTCCTGAAAAATTACCACCTTTATAATCCTGCTGCAGAGAAGTCCACTGTGAAGGGAACGTGTCATCTTATGATATCATGTAGTTTATGTAAATATATAGTTTCAGAAAACTTGCCAAAGCTTGATTCAAACTTTGTTCATTCTAAGAATTAGAACACTGTTGACATTACAACCAGACTATTGTTAGATATGATAAAATAACTTATTTTTCTAATTTTCAGCTTGAAGAGTTTTCAATCCCCTAGGGTTCCCTTGGATGTTTTATTAGATTGTGAAGTTTACTGAATATTCCTTGTTTTGAGATGGGGTTGAAGGTTTTGACTTGCTGTTCAGCCTTTTTGCTTTAGCTGGCTGGAAGCAATTGCTGTGCAAAGTAATATGTGTTGGGAGAGCCTCAATTCTTGGCACCTCTTTGGGTGCTGGAGTAATAAGGCTATGGTTGCTGCTGCTCACAAAAACAACCACAACCAACATTCACTAGACCTTTTTCATGTGCAAAGCCAAATGTTTACATGGGCTATGTCATGGAATCCTCAGGTCACCCTATAAGGTAACTGTTGTTTCAGACCCATTTAACAGTTGAAGATAGTAAGGTTTAACAAAGTTAAGCATTCTGTCACTAAGTTTCAACACTTGGTCCTTTGGGAAACTAAATCCTTCCTCCCCACCCCCCACTTTTAAAAATTGTGGTAAAAACATTTAACATAAGGTTTACCCTTTTATACAGATTTTAAGCATACAGTACAGTATTGTTGACTCTAGGCACCGTGTTGGACAGCAGATTTCTAGACTTACTTAAGTTGCATGACTGAAATTTTACACTTGTTGAATAGCAATTCCCCCTTTCCCCCTGCTCCCTGTCCCTGGCATCCACCATTCTACACTCATGGGGCACCAAGCCAGGCATGAGGGATTCACCCCCTGCACCAAACCCTCTGCCCCACCCTACCAGGCCCCAACTCCAACACTGGAGATCAAATGTTTACCTAATATTTGGAGGACACAGATATCCACAGTGCATCAGCTGGGGTCTCAGGGAAGAGAAAGGCAATGGACTGACATTAGTAAGAGCTTGGGCCTGACGTTTTACAGATCTAGATTTAAATTCTGGCTCTGTCAATTCTTAACCCTCGGACCTTATGCAAGGGAATTAGCCATTCAATGTGGAAAGAATGCCCAGAGACTGTAATATCCACAGAGCTAGAAATTGAGCTGGGTTCTGATCTTGCTTCTTCTACTCTTGGGTGTCAGACCTCACTATCCCCCAACCCTCAGTGTAGATCCATCATGTACCATGACCATGCAGAATCACTCTCTTCTTTGTGCCCTCTCTTTTTCCCGTGCAAGCTCCTATGTTTACATTTATTAGTTTCCTTCTTAGTCTCCCCCATTAGAATATAAGTTTCTTGAAGGCAGTTGTGACTTAGTCCATGTTTGTACCTCATGTGGCAGGCAGCCTCTAATGTGACTCCCAATAATCCCCACTTCCTGGTATTAAATATAATTGTGCAATTTCATCCCCTTGAGTGAAGAATGGACTTACTGACTCACTCTAATGCATAGAATACAACAAAAATATGGACTGTCACTTTTTTTTCTTTTTTTATGGTGGGGACCCTCTGCTGGCAGGGCTAGAATGCAGTCTAAAAATGGGTATGCCTGTAATTGTATTTAATAATAGAGACATTAAAAAAAATGAGGGAAGAAAATAATTAACAAGCAACCAACCAATATTTCATTTAAACCTGTAAATAGGTGTGATGTGGTACTGATAAGAGTGTATATTTTGTGTATTTAAAGTGGAGAGTTCTATAAATGTTAATTAAGTCTACTTGTTCCGGATCTGAGTTCAAGTCCTGGATATCGAAGTTAACGTTCTGTCTCACTGATCTGTCTAATGTTGATGTTGAAGTCTCCCACTATTATTGTGTGGGAGTCCAAGTCTCTTTATATATCTGGGTATTACTGTACTGGGTGCGTATATATTTAGGATCTTTAGCTCTTCTTGTTACATTGATCCTTTTATTATGTAATATCCTTCTTTTCTTCTTTTGATATTTGTTGCTGACAGTCTATCAGCAAGCAACAAAGCAACAAGGACTGTCACTTTCAAGATTAGGTTACAAAGAGAGAGAGACTTCTGTCTTGTGCACCTTCTCTGGTTCTCTTGTTCACTGTCTCTGGGGGAAGCCAGCTGCCACTTGGTGAGCCACCCTAAGGAGAGGCTCACATGGCAAGGAAAGCCCCAAGCCAACAAAGACCCAAGGCCTTTGTTCTACAACCTGTAAGGAATAGTGTTATTCCCAGTTGAGCCTTCAGATAAGGCTGCAGTCCCAGCCAAGACCTTGATTGCAGTCTTATAAAAGACCTTGAAGCAGGGAACCCAGCTAAGCCAGGACCAGGTTCCAGCCAAGTTTTGACCCATGGAAACTATGAGATAATAAATGTTTGCTTGTATTTTAAG